TTGACAGAGAGAGACAGCGAGAGAGGGAACACAAGCGGGGCGTGGGAGAGGGAGAAGCAGGCTTCCCGCTGAGCAGAGAGCCTGATGCGGGGCGGGACCCTGGGGTCATGACCTGAGCCAAAGGCAGACACTTAACGACTGAGCCACCCAGGCACCCCGCCTGATGAGAATTTAATCACAACATTTTGTTGCTCAAACTCTACCTATCCATCTTAGAAATAAACTATATTATATTCATAAAATCTCATGCAATCAGATGTTATTTCATTATGTATGTGTAGAAATTCTAAGGAAGCATTGAATCTAAGGATTATGGTGTTATGAGATTTTAGTTACCCATGTGTATGTAAACATTTCTAGTGGCAATTTTATTTATTATTTACTTATTTATTGATTTTTAAAAATAATTTATTTGAGAGAGAGTGAAAGCAAGAAAGATCACAGAGGGTGAGGGAGATGCAGACTCACCACTGAGCAGAGAGCCTGATGTGGGGCTCGATCCCAGGACCCTGGGACCATGACCTGAGCCAAAGGCAGATGCTTAACTCACTGAGCCACCCAGGCGCCCCTCTAGTGGCAATTTTAGAAATATAATACCTCCTTAGAAGTATTTAACAAGTTATAAACTTGATTTTGGCTAGGCTTAACTACTTCATAAGATAGAACTTGAACACAGGGGCAAGTACCAAAGCAAATACTTTACTACATATAATCAGTTAATGTTCAAATGTCAAAAACCTTAGACTCTCCTAAAAATATAATAGCTGATCAAATAATTTGCTATATCTATTATTTTCAGCCGTTTGCACAATTAGATAAAGTCCTTGCTACTCCTTTATAAGATATATAATTCATAAAAAACTAATTATGGTGTAATTTTACAAATGTATTTCCCTCTCTCTTTGATTTTCTGTCTATATGTGACATGAGTAATAAATGCATTGCTAAAAGAAACTTAGCATATTTTAAGAATTAGTTTCTTTTAGAATGTGCCTTTTTTAGAATGCTAGCAGATTATTCAGGTTTTTTTCTTTTAATTATCTCATGACCCATTTCACAAGGTACAACAACAAATTTTACAGTAAACCTATAGTGTTTTTTGTTTGTTTTGTTTTTTAAGTAGGCTCCACGCCCAGCGTGGGGCTTGAACTCATGGCCCTGAGATCAAGAGCCACATGCTCTACCAACTGAACCAGCCAGGTACCCCTGTAGTAAACCTATAGTTTTATAACTATTTTTTTAGGGGAAAATTAATACATACAAAGAGTATTTTTAAGACCTTTTAATCTTGGTTAAAAGTGACATACTGTAGGGCTCCTTCTGGGTGGCTCAGTCGTTGGGCTTCTGCCTTCGGCTCAGGTCATGATCCCAGGGTCCTGGGATTGAGCCCCGATCGAGCTCCCTGCTCTGCGGGGAGCCTGCTTCTCCCTCTTGCTCTCCCCCGCTTGTGTTCCCTCTCTTGCTGTGTCTCTCTCTGTCAAATAAATTAATT